GGTAAGTCTCAATAATGTAGTGAATCCAAATACTCCTGAACCTACCATCAGAAAGTCTCCTATTCTTGAGGCAATGCTGAAACCAAAAGAGCCAAACTGTTCCCTCAACCAGGAATGATGATTTGTTTGGCTGGATTAGTATTCTAGATACTAGCCCTAAACCAACCTGACCATTTGGTGTAGAAGAAAGAAGGAAAGAGATGGTCTTCATGTCATTTTTAATCTCTTGACATTCTATCCAGGCAAACCATTCATAGGTGATTTAAAATAACCAAGTTATCGGCCTCTGAAGAGTACTGATGAATTGACTGTAATTTTTTTGTGTGTGATACTATCTGAATTTAAGTCAACTAGGTTCTCACAGCCTATTAGATTGAGTACTTCTGATGACTAAGGGAGGAGAGAAGGGGAAATACTATAGGTTTTGGCTGAATGAAGAGGAGAGAAATCTGGTGCTTTTTAAAGGAAAAATAATCATTAAAATAATTTAAAGTTATTAATCCACTAAGAATCAGAGCACAGTCCAAACCCTGCCATTGATAGTTGGTGATTCCTTTCAGACATAGCTTTTGTGAGGTCATTTTTTTGAGGCCAGTGGTGAAAAGCTTCATAGCCACAGAGCAACATTTGCCAGTAAATTAGTTCAGCTTGTTTCCACATGGCCCCGAAATCTTCATTTGTTCCATCATGAAAAACAAACTTTCATTTGCTTGAAGCAGGGAAAAATAAATGATTTTCTTTTGCACATTTTGACAATTTAATTCTTAGCATGCTTATATGCTAATCTATTTTTTTTTTTTTTTTTTTTTTTTTTAGCCACTAACTACTCTTTTCCTGTTTGGTTTTAGTTCTCATAAAGAAAAATAATGCACTTTTAGCTTTTAACAGAAAGAGCTAAATTTTCTCAAGGCAACAACAATACAGACCCAAAGAAAATACATGTGATTTAACACATTACTGAGTGAGGCTGGGGAAAAACCTTTCTTCCTAAGTATGAAATGGGTGATTACATTTCAGATCAAGATAATTTTATGACATTGCCCCTGGAGGCATGGGTATGGGATAGGTGGCTACATTTTCCCTATTCCTATGACGACAGAGTAAAGTTAAGAATTGATCACTTTAAACTATAGTACAAAACAATTACGTACCCCTACTCAAAAAGCATTAAATTGGGAAGGCAAAAATACCCAATCAGAGTTGTGGGAAATGTCAGCTGGATTACCAAAGTTTGCAGAAATATCCTAATCAATTTTTCTCTGATGAACCATTAGAGGGTAGGGGTGTGTGGCTGGGGTAGCAGCAGTAATGATCATAGCTAACATGGACATTTATTACATGACAGGCCCTGTTCTAAGAGTTCTATCTCTGTGAACTCACTTAATCCTACAAGGTAGGTAATATCATCTTCATTTGAAACATGAGGAAAATGAGGCTTAAGGAGATTAAGTAACTTTGAAAGGTCACACAGTTCCCCGTCATTAGAAACTCACCCTCAGCTGTTACCCTCCGGTTATATCAGGCTGCCATTATTAGAATATTGGTCCACCATTTTTACTAGTTCTATGGCCTTGGGCAAGTTACTTAAGTATCAGTCCTGTAAATAGGCTGCTCCTACATTTAAATGAGATAGTTCATGTAAAACACTAATAGTATCAGGAAAGAGGAAATATTTTTAAATAGTTTATTGTCAAGTTGGTTTCCATATAACACCCAGTGCTCATCCCCACAAGTGCCCTCCTCCATGCCCATCACCCTCCTTCCCGTTCTCCCACCCCATCTGCCCTCAGTTTGTTCTCGGCATTCAAGAGTCTCTCATGGCTTGCCTCCCCCCCCCCACACTACTTTTCCCCTTCTTCTCCCCCATGGTCCTTCGTTAAGCTCCTCCTAATCCTCCTATACGTGCAAACATATGATATTTGTCCTTCTCTGCCTGACTTATTTCGCTCAGCATAACACCCTCAAGGTCCATCCATGTTGCTACACATGGCCAGATTTCATTCTTTCTCATTGCCGTGTAGTATTCCATGGTATAGATAAACCACATCTTCTTGATCCATTCGCCCGTTGATGGATACTTAGGCTCTTTCCATGTTTTAGCTATTGTGGAGTGCTGCTATGAACATTGGGGTACATATGCCCCTATGCAGCAGCACTCCTGTATCCCTTGGGTAAATTCCTAGCAGTGCTATTGCTTGGTCATAGGGGAATTCTATTGTTAATGTTTTGAGGAACCTCCACACTGTTTTCCAGAGGGGCTGCACCAGTTTACATTCTCACCAACAGTGGAGGAGAGTGCCCATATCTCCACATCCTCGCCAGTATCTTGTGTTCTCTGATTTGCTCATTTTAGCCACTGACTGGCATGAGGTGGTATCTCAGTGTGGTTTTGATTTGTATTAAGAGGAAATATTTAATAAGTGTTAGCTACTATTAAAATAAGAGAAATTAGCAAAGAATCAAAGAATTAACAGAAGTTTAATTTACTACTATTATTTTTTGGTGTGTGGGTATGTGTGTGTTTCTTATTCCCTGTGTTTCATTTTTAATATTACCTCTCAGGAATGAAGTTGACCATAGAAATGACAATTACTTCTACAAGGCTTTACATTTCTCAAAGTGCTTATATGAATTTTCCAATTTGATCCTTCGAAAAGTCTTCTATGTTTGTCAACAAACTGAGGCTTAGAGAAGTTAGGCGATATTATGTCAGCCACATAGCTGACATCAAAAGCTGAATCCAGATTTGAACCTATGAAGGTGAGTTTAATTTATATCCTTTGACGCTGAGCTAGTTTATTGCTTTTAGTAATGTTTTGTTGATCTTGCATTTTCCAAGTATATAATCAAATCATCTGCACACACTGATATTTCTATTTCTTCCCTTTCCATAGTTGTGACTTTCATTAATTCTTCCTGATCTGAATTGGTACAGTTGAGTGCCGTATTAAACAGAAAACTTACCCTGGCTTTCTGCACCTTTGTTAACACTTCTTGTGTTAGTCCCTCTGTACACCCTCCTCCAAATGCTTGTATGGCCCGTGCCTGTCCTATCCAGCCATCAGAACTGATTCAAATGTTCTCTGCTATAAAAAAAAAAAATTCTCTCTGAGCTTCTCAACTAGCGTAACCTGTCTTTATCCTTTTTTTTTAATGTTTTATTTATTTTTGAGAGAGAGATAGAGAAAGCATGAGCAGGGGAGGGTCAGAGAGAGAGGGAGCCACAGAATCCGAAGACAGGCTCTAGGCTCTGAGCTAGCTGTCAGCACAGGGCCCGATGCAGGACTCAAACCCACGAACCGTGAGATAATGACCTGAACTGAAGTTGGACGCCCAACTGACTGAGCCACCCAGGTGCCCCTAACCCCTCTTTATTCTAAACCAATGGTTCTCAACTGGGGGTGATTTTGTCCCTCAGGGGACATGTGGCAATATGTGAAGTTGTTTTTGGTTGTCATTAGTAGGGCAGAGGGTGTACTGTCATCTAATGGGTAAAAGCCAGGAGGGATGCTGGTAAACAGCCTGCAACACACAGGACACCCCCCTGCAGTGAGGACTTCTCCAGCCTAAAATGTGGGCAGTGCTGAGGGTGAGAAATTCCGTTCTAAACTAAAGCCTCAATATGTATCATTGGGATACATATTGTTTTCTGCTTTTAAAAAACATATACATAGATATATATTATATATAATATATAATACCAACTGTGTTATTTGAGGGCAGAGACTCCATCTTCACCATCTTTTTATCACTGACATTCACAATAATTAGCAAGTCCCACTATATATTCTTCTGTATTACTTCATTAAATACTTTTGATTAATTTAAACATTAATCAACCATTAACTATAAAAGATGACATATGTTAGATAAAATGATTTAGAGTTCCCTTAAGGCATCTGACCAATGAGAAAAATAATGTAAGACGTAATTTTTTTAAATTTATGAAACTCAGGCATTGCTCATTCTTATTTCTAATTCTGTACATCTTCCCCAAATGATTCCATAAACCATGATATATTAAAAACAGAGTGCAGAAAAATAATATATTTGAAAAGATACAAGGCATATATGAGTGCATTTGGAAAAACATTTTAACCATGACAAATTTGATGATGTCGACTAAAAACTCTACTAGCAGAATCCAAACAAGGAGGAAAGAGAAAAAGTGAAAACACTTTCAAGACAATAGGCTCAAGGGAAACACAATCACGGAAAACAAATGCTCAACATATCAACACTGGTGTCACATTTAAAGCTCAAACTTTTTAAAAAATGTGATCTCCTTGGAAGTGAGCAGACACTCCTTTATTTAAAGTGTCTAAAGTATTGTATTTGTTATCATATGTCAGTAGCAATTCAGAGAGGACTTTGTCAAGGAAGAAAATATGAACCTCCAGAATTCTTCTCACAAATGATATTTCTAATAAGAGGTAGAAAATACAATCAATAACTTGATGGCTCTACTATATAATAATAACAACCTTTCTTATAGCCAGGAAGGCTATTATTATTTTCTACTAAGTGCGGTATTTCTAAATAAAAATGTGAAGGGGAATGTTCTATGTCATTTTTGGAAAGAGCTGAATACAAATCAGGTAGTTAATTGGTGCACCTAATTTTTGTATGGTTTTCATTTTTATGCACGACTTTCATACAACAATGTAACAAATACGTCCTTTGAAGTGGAATGCTCTATTAGGTAATACAGATGTTTGCTTGGATTTTATTATTCTCATGAAAATTTCATAATGCTCATAATAATATTACTATAAAATAATAATTCACTGTGGTCAATGGCATGGGCAGTGGGTACAACGAAAGTGGAAATATTTCATATGAAAGAGCAGATTCTCCAAGAAAGAATACTGGCCACCTCTAAATGAGACTTATCCACTTCAGTAATTTGTTCCCTGCTTTTAATGCACATGTTTTTTATGAATATTAATTATTTCCTGATCAAGCAGTGCTGTAATTACATGGATTAAATAATTACTTACCTAATAAATCTGAAGCTCTTAAATTTTCTTTCAGAAACATAACAGAAATAATGGCACTACCTAGAAAGAAAATGGCCATCAGTGGTGTTTCCAACATAAAAAGCATACATTACACAGAACCATCTGAAAGCAGTTAAGCACTTTGTGTCTTATACCTGGACTAGCTATGTCCTGGTCAGAGAAACCCACCAGCAGTGGCTATGAAAACAACTCCCCCTCACCCCCTCATGGTTGAGGATACCTTAAAACTGGCCTGATTTATAACAGACCTCGGACAGTGGCTGGGATAGTGCTCTGTGGAGAGCAAGGGCACAATAAAAGCTTACTAAATAACTAGATAGATGATAGATAGATAGATAGATAGATAGATAGATAGATAGATAGATAGAGCAAGCAGAAAGGGATGGAAAGGCAGAAAGAGACATAAGGGAAGGAAAGAAAGAATGCAAAGAAGGAAGTTTTAACTTTCAATATACTCCAAACTGAAACTCATTATTTCCCTTCATCTCCTCCTAGAATTCCTAGTCTGAGGGGTACCTGGATGGCTCAGTTGACAAAGTCTATTCCAATGACATCTCTAAGGAGCCCCGGAATCCTAGGACTCCTGCTAGTCTCCACTCTCCTTCACACGACACATCTAACAGCATCTTGTGTCAGGTCTGGATTTCACCATCTATCCAGTCCACCTTCCTCTTCAGTCCACTGTCACTGTGCTGCTCAGGCCAGCTTCATCGCAGGCTTAGATCTTAAGTCCTGCCATTTCCCTCACCACATTCGTCCCTGATCTCGTTTATCTTCTACTCCCACTCTTACTAAAATCATAATTTCCAGAACCATCATTTCGTTTTATTCTAAAGGACTTTTATTCATGCTATTTCCTTTCAAATGTGTCTCCCTTTTTTAAGACCAACTCTAGACTCAAGTATCACCTCTGGATTCCCCTAGACCCAGTCGACCAATTCACCCTTTGGTGTGATTGATTACCCCTTGTCATACAGCTTTCCTGTCACACTGAAGATTTATTTGCCAATCCTCCCCACCCCCAGAAAAGACTATCAGTTCCTTTTACTGTGAGATATGTTTTATTTTTCTAAGCTCTCCCAGGTGTAGCTAGCAGGTAGATAAGAGAGTTGGTCAGCTCTCTGCCCTGCATTTGCTGGCCCTCATGGTGTAAGACCTTCTTTCCCATTACTGATGCTACTGAATGCTCAGCCTCTAACTGAGCCTTGACCTATTTCCATGGCCTCGGGTTGTGTAGGGAAAGTTGAATCTCTCTGAGTTGTTCCTCTTAATGGAGCCGTTCTTCTATGAGCAGAGGCATGGGAAAACCCAAACTTCCAGTAATAAAAAATAGTACACAACATAAGTTGAATTTCAAATTTTTAGCAGAAATTATTATCAAGGCTCTTAAGTGTGTTTTTTAAACTAAAAATATAAGGAAAAAATAGGGAAGAAAAGTCATCATAAAAATAACTCCTCATCTAGAGAAAGTTGTAGTTATATGTTGGCATGTTTATTTTACCTTAGCTGAGTTGAAACTATAATGCAATTAAAAAAAATTTTTTTAATGTTTTATTTATTTCTGAGAGAGAGACAGCGAGAGCAGAGGGTCAGAGAGAGAGGGAGACACAGAATCTGAAGCAGGCTCCAGGCTCTGAGCTGGCTGTCAGCACAGAGCCCAACATGGGGCTCGAACCCACTAACCGTGAGATCATGACCTGAGCCAAAGTCGGATGCTTACCCGACTGAGCCACCCAGGTGCCCCTAAGGCAATTTTTTTCAGTTTCCTTAGTTACCATATTAGAAACAATTTGTCATGTCATGAAAATTTTTTCATAGATAAAAAATTTTAATAAATCTGTAAAATAATCCATTAAATCAATTAAAATTAAATACAACTATATCTGTTTTTCTGGCAATTGATTACAACCAAAATAAATCAACACCAGAAACCCTCATTCAAGATAAGCTGGGATTCTCATATGTTTTCTCCATCTTTTTCTCACCCTGGCTCTTTTATTCAACTTGAGCTATTATTCAAGTCCTTGCAAACTTCTCCTGGGCAGATTATTTACCAGAATGGACATTTCACACAGGATAAACAGAGCATGAAAAAAGTCTACTGAGCATGAATTTAATTGGGTGATGTGGCTTTAAAACATTAATGTTTTCTGTATAGACACATAGCCCATTATGTTAAGAATTGAGCTCCAGACAGTGTAAAAATATATGAAAGATTTCCATTTCATATTTGGACCAAAACTATTCAGGGAAACTAATTTCACAGTTTAGAAAATTAGAAAAAGTATAAAAAACAAGACCCCATTCCATTCCATTACTGACCTCCTGTGTAATTACATAAGGAATGTTTCCAAGTGGAGGGAGATAGAGCAATAAAAAATAGGTGAAGTATCACTACTAACACGTACCAAATCCAAATGCACTCTATTATAACAATCCTTAAGATGACTATTTCACAGCAAAGGAGTCTAGTAAGAAGGGCAGACGTTGCTTACATGGAATGAGGAAATCTTAGAGCTGATGGGAGATACAGAGACAATGTACTTCAGGTTCTATAACTTTATATTTGGGAGGCAGGTCCAGAGAGGTTGTTTGTTCATTCATTGATCCATTCATTTAACAAACATTTACATTATAGCAGAATCAGAACCAAAGCCCACATTTCCTTATCCCCAGTCCAGGGCTCTCTTGTACACTATACTCCACTGTCTCTCTTGAAGGTAGAAAGGCATCATTTTCCTTCTTTTCTTGTTGCTCAACTAGTTTCATAAATAATTTCATTTTTAGAAGAGATGTGGGGGCACCTGGGTGGCTCAGTTCATTAAGCATCCAACTTTGGCTCAGGTCATGATCTTGTGGTTAGTGGATTCAAGCCCCACAGTGAGCTCTGTGCTGACAGCTCAGAGCCTGAGGCCTGCTTTGGGTTCTGTGTCTCCTTCTCTCTCTGCCCCTCCCATGCTCATGCTCTGTCTCTCTCTTTCCCTCTCTCCAAAATACATAAACATAAAAAAAAATAATGGATGGGGGAAAATGTTAGGTAGGTGACAATTTCATTGCTAAAAGAAAAAAGGACACGATTGGTAAGAATAAACATGAAATATACTGTATGCATCAAATTATATCAATTGCCTACAAAACAGTTATCAGAGTTTTATGAACACTAACATGCTACTGTTTCTGAAAGAACTTATGTCTAATGCACTTCCATACTCATTTTTTTTTTCTGTTTTAAGAGAATATGAGGTTTTCTACAAAAGTGTTAGGTAAGAGAATAAGATTTTTTAGTTTTATTTATCTAGCAAAGGAAGCAATAAAAAAGAACATTCTGTTAAGGAACATTTACTTGTAATTCATTTATCTTTCAAAACACAGTTAAAATGAGAGCTGTGCTGAGCAAAAAGACAGTATCTGAGCAACAGCTAATAACATGACTTCTAAGTAGAGCAGTAAATTTTTAAGATGAGAAAAAATAAATAAACTGAAGTGCCTCATATATAGTTGCAGTCAGAGATTTGTCAAACTCAGTCCTGCTTGGTTATTGCTATAACCACCACCACTGCCTGATGAACACCGAGGAAGAGGAAAGAACTACTATGCTTTTACTCCTGTAGTAAAACTTAATATTCAAAAATAGAACATTTCAAGATGAATAGTTTTTTGGGTTTTTTTTTTAAATTTGAGAGAGAGAGTATGTAAGTGGGGGAGGGACAGAGGGAGGAGAGAGAATCTGAAGCAGGCTCCACGCTCAACCACAAAGCCCCATGTGGGGCTCAATACCCGGGGGATCATGACCTGAGCCAAAATCAAGAGTCAGATGCTCAACTGACTGAGCCACCCAGGCACCCCAAGATCAATAGTTTAAAAAGCATTTAAACAGCATAAATTAAACATGATCAAACTATAGCTAGTACTGAGCATTTATGTCAGCACTCACAGTTTTGTGTACATTTTTGACTTGAGGCTTATTTGGGCAAGAGGTTCAAGAACGCTTTTCCAATTCTGGTCTTCAAAGGACACAGATGGATACAGACTGCCCACAGACATGAGTCTACACAGAGAGTACTTGTGGATGCTGGATTAAATTCATTACATAAGGTCACATGGTGACTCCAGAGCCACACACTGAACCACAACGACCACAATGCACTAAAAAAGAATACGAAGGTAGCATATGAAAGATAATGTACCAAAATGTAAACAGTGGTTATGTAGAAGTTGTGGGGTAGGAGGGGGAGATAGCAGGAATATTTCCTGTTAGGAGAAGAAACAAAAAAAAGCTTCTAGTACTTTCTCTGGTGCAAAACAGTGCTCCTATGGAGCCATTTATTAATATATTCACTTGGCCTTAAAGTTTTAATGCTTCATTGTCAGGAAGACTCTCAACAACAATTATTATGGGCGAGTCAATGATTCTGTTTTTGGCCATTAAGGGTCACTCAGATTAGCAATCAGAATGGAGTGTCCTGTCCAGTCCAGGTTGACATAAAGAAACTTACATGTGGGAATTCTGTTTGGATTTCCAGAAGAAAGGGGATAAAGGCCAACCAAGATTCTCATGGCTTCAACTGAACCAAATCTAGATGTCGGGGAGGAGGTCCAGGAGTCAGCTGTGACCTGGTGTTGAGCTTCCTAACACTCCCTGAAATGAACCCCACATTTGTCCCTGATTTGCCTCCTCTCTGACATCACTCAGACTTGGTCCAAGGGCTGGCTGTTATAAGAGTTGATGCTCTAAGATCTGTAGTAGGCCGCAAGTGGAAGGAAAAATACAACTATAAGTTACTCTGGCGCATGAGAATTCAGAAAGATCGTACAAACTTGATTTGGATTTTCTTCTGTAATAGCTACTAATGGGGATTAGTAAATCAGAAATTAAAATCAAATTTCCAGATGTTAACAATCAAACTCAAGGGTAGATTTTTAGAGGTAGGTTTAGATCTTTGTATCTTTAGAATAGGTAATTGAGGATTCCTTTTTACATTAAGATATGTGTGCACTTTACTAAACTCCCTTTACCCTCCAAATAATGATTTTTTTAC